TAGCAAAATGTGGAAAAAAATTAGTTTTTTATCTCTTACAAATACTATATGTCATCCCAAATTTTATTAAATTTTGCCAACTTAACAAAAAATTAACTTTTGTGCTAATCTGAATTACAAAAATTATTAATGGGTTTGAGTATTTTTCAAATGTTTATGGATCATATGTAATTTTCTTCTTATTTGCCCATTTTATGTTCTGTCCCCCTCCTCTGCCTTTGCTCTTTCTCTATTGTTCTATAGGAACCTTTAACTACTATGGACATTAACTCTTTGCCTTTTTTATGTATAAAAAGTATTTTCCCACAGTCCTCATTTGGCCTTTAAATTTGTTCATGTGAGCTGCTTCTGCCAAATACAAGTTTTGACTTCTTAATTATTCCAATCTGTCAACCTTTGCTTTATGTTTTCTGGGCCTCCTGTTAGGCTTAGAAGTTTCTCCCTACTCCAGGATCATAAAATATGGAGTGCATTTACTTAGAGCACAAGATGACCAAATTCAAAGAGGCAACAGTAATATAATTGATAGGATGCCAGACAAAACAGCCTGAAGCCCTGCAGAGGAATCTGCCTAGCCCACATTTTCCCCCTCACACTGTACTTTTCCAGCCTGTGGTTATTTGTTATGCCTCTAGGCAGCCCTGACTTTCCACTAAGTTCTCCTCCCTCCTCTTTCATTCCTGAGCAGAGAGCTGTTTGATTTTTTTGGTTTTGTTTTTACAGACTGTTATCAGCAATAAGTGAGTCTCCGTCTACCTGTACTTCTCCCATCCTGGGACTCAATGCAACATTACTGGCTGTATTTTCACCTTTCTGCTCTCTTTTCATATCCCCTCTCCCCTGCTTCCTGAAGTAAGTGAGCAAGAGAGCCAAAAGCTGACTTTGACCCATCTGCCCCAGGTTGGCTCCATTCCAATGGGAAAGTTTGATGTTGCAAGTTTTTAAAAGTCACTCACATTTTCCTGACTTAGAATCACACAGGCTTCCTTGACTTCCTTCTAATTCAATCAGGACAAAGAAAGCAAGCTGAGTTTACTGCTGCTTGGCCCCTGGGGGGAACCAGCCCCAAGCACAAGGTTGACACAAGAGCCAAGATCTTGGATACCTTTCTCTGCCCCTTCTGCCTCCTATACTGCCCCACAGCTGCCCTTTCTCTTTTGGCTCAGGATACTTGATTTGGGCATTCTACAGTAAAGTTTCTCTCCTCGGATAGATGAACTACATGCCAAAATCAAGGGTTGTCCTAGGTGGATTTTTACCCTGCCCCTGCCACAGTCTCCTCATCGGTACCCCAAATTAGTTTTATGCATTTACTTAAATACACTCTAGTTAAAAGTAGTATGCCTTGGCTGGGGATGTGGCTCAAGCGGTAGCGCGCTCGCCTGGCATGCTTGGGGCGCTAGGTTCGATCCTCAGCACCACTTAAAAATTTAAAAAAATAGAGATGTTGTGTCCACTGAAAACTAAAAAATAAATATTAAAAAAATTCTCTCTCTCTTTTAAAAAAAATTAGTATGCCTACTATGCAAATGCAGCCCCAAGACAAGTCCTCCAGCACAGTGTCCTCTAAGTAGACATCTGGGATTACACACCATCTCCTCAATTTTCCCAAGTATTTATGGGGGCAGGAATGAGTACAGAGGATGGAGGATTAAGCCAAAGGGCTAGAATTTCAGTTTCAACACAGAAGGCCAGGTAGCAGAAGACTGACTGGTACCTCTGAACTCACACCACACAGGAAGATGCTTCCTCATCACCTGGAGGAACCCTGCTTCCCTCGGATCTTTGCTGGTGAACACTAGGGAACAAGATCCTACCTCATAATGCCAGTGTTGGTTTTGTGAGCATTCAATGGCAGGATTTCCAAGAACACTCAGGTTGTCTCTCCCACGATCTTTGAGACTGGACTGTGAGTGCTTTTAACACTTTCTTTTGCCATACTTTCTGATGTTTTCCCCATAATTCCAAGTTTTGCACTTATTGATTCAACAAGGTTTTAGTTTACATTTTTAAAAATGATACCCTCAAGGAAACTCTCAAAATTCTGAAGAAGGATCTAAAGGAAGCCATGGGGGATATTTAAATGAATTAGTAAATCCCTGGTACTTAGGAAGCCTTGACTAAATACCAATTTTGTTATTCTTGTTGTTATTATTATTACTATTATTATTATTATTATTATTATTATTTAGTTGTGGATGTATCTTTATTTTATTTATTTATTTGTGGTGCTGAGAATCGAACCCAGTGCCTCATACATGCTAGGCAAGTGCTCTACCACTAAGCTACAATTCTAGCCCTATTGTCATTATTATTGCTATTGACATTGTAAAGAAGGAATACTTTCAGGGAAAAGTAGGAAATTGGCATCAAGCAAAGAGCAGAGAGGCTATCATAGATGACACTTGTCATGGCCCATGGTGTCTGTCCAAATTAGTTTCATTTATATTTAGGAGCCATGCCAGGTGAGTTTTTCAACTACTGAGTTCCCAACAGCATGAAGGATGTTGATATCTTGATGTTTTTTCCTGTGACCTGGGTAATGGGCAAATAATTCAGAAAAAAAAAAAAAGATCTTGTATCAACATCAAACACTGATGTAAACATTCAATGAAAGAAAAACTGAGAGTCCAGCGAAAAAAACAGTCAGGCCTAACTTCCCAGAGAATATCAAAGCAAAGAAAGATCTGGTCTGGCAACCCAAATAGGCTTACCATCTACTCAGGCTTTTCTGGAAAAAAAACTTAATTTCAAATACTATACTCTATCTCTTTGCTTCAACAGATAAGTTCAGGGTTCTGATTCATACATTAGAGAACATGAGCACCGTATGTTTCCTTAAGCACAGGAAAACCTCTAAACGATGCGTGATTCCCTCTATTCAATGTGCATCACAAAGCTCATATGTCCCAACGTTTTTGAAGCTTCCTTTCTTTGAAAGGAGTAGAGAAGCAGCAGTCCAGTGGCACACACACGTTGTTGAAAATGCGTGTCAGCCAGAGGGTGCCCTTGCCTCGGTGGCTTCCTGCCTCCAGCTCACACAGGGCTTCCGCTGTTTGGAGTGCCAGGAACTCTGTGAGGGATCCAAGTTTTCAAGCTGATAAAGATGATTTCGATGTGATATTTGAAAGGGCTGTGTGACATAAAGACTTCCCTGTATGAAATCCTGGCACAGCTGGTGAGAGAAGTGTGAGTGGGTGGAGATGATGGGGATGTGAGAAGGCACAGTGCCACCCAAGGCAGGGCTGGCCATAAAGAAGGAGTGAGATACTGCAACTCCTTTTTTTGTCAAAACTCTATCCACTTAATCTATTTTTTAAAACATGCTCCAAAGATTTTTGACAACTCATTCACTAAAACAAGCCTCTATGCCTAAGTGGTGAGATTTACTTTTTTTTAAATTTTTTTAATGCAAGATTTAAAATCACAGCATTAGCAAGAGGCAACACAATTATTAGAACAATTGGCCACTGATCACCCAGTTAATCAAATAAACTTGAACCTTGGAAGAAAAATAGGTGGTCTATGATCTGATCCCTCCTTGTTTTTATAAAGCACCAGGAAAATCTGGATAGTCCCAGAAAGAAAATTTGAAGGTATGTATTTCTAGGTCATGCCTTCAACATTAGTAATCATCAATCACCGAGGAACCTAGAACCTTCATGCATAGTAAAAGCAATAATAATAGACTGTTTTGATTCTTCAAAAAAAGAAAGATATGTGGGCTCTCCACATGCAATCCTGACCTTTGAACCCCCCTTCAAAGATGGATAAGTCCATTATAGTCCCTAATGCCTCACTAAACTTGGCCCATTGGTCTGAGGTCCTGATCTAACAGCTGAACTTCTCATGCTTAAGTGACCTCTTTAGGATTCTTTCCGAAGAAACAGCACACAGAAAGCTCTGGATCAATAAGGAGTATGGCTATTGTTGATGCTGATTTATAAGATCAAAGCATCAATTTTAAAACTTGTTATAATTTCCTGATGATATTAGTGTTCTTTACAAGGTTAAAACAAGAATGATCCAGTCAGATTTAAAGATTCATGGCCTTGTTACATTTGTACAGAAAGCGTATAAAGACATATTCAGAGTACAAGGAGCATCAGCATTCTTAGATATTTAGAAAAGTGTTGCATTCAGGAGTATAATTCCTATATTAATTAATTCCTTCGACAAGATCATGTGAGCACCTGACATGTGAGCATCTTAGAAGGAGCACATAGAGAAGGAGTTTATACTGGAGTTAGGCCCCAATTTCACATTACCATATATTAGTGCCTTTATAGAGAGAGACTCTTTCTAGATTTTCAAAAAGACCTAACATTTAAATACTTTATTATACACTAGACACAATATATGCATTTTTCTCTTCTACTCCTCATAAAAATCCTATATGGCAAGTTTTATTATTATTCTCACATTATGGATAAGAAACAAGGCAGAGAGAGGTTAAATAGCCTTTCCAAGCCCACACAGCACTGTCAATGGCAACATTGGGACTCAAAAGCAGGTAAGTTGGTCAGCAGAAGCTAGGCTCCCCCAAGACTCTTTGGGGTCTATTTACAAAAAATTTCTGACATGTAATCTCAGGTAAACTTCAAAGGACCCTTGTAAATTAAATACTACTATCATCATCTTATGACCAAAACTAACAAGGTTGAAACACTATTTAGGTCCTTCAGCTTATGTAAATCATATTTTAATGGCAAATAATCATATAAACCATTAGAAATTCTCAAATATGGGGTTTTCCACATGATATATTTTAAATATTCATCACTTAAGAAAATGTTAATATGAAATTTTAACATGAATTTTTGTCAACTCCTCTTGCAAAAGATTGCCAAGTTTAACAAATAAAAATACAGAATGTCTAGTTAAATTTGAATTTCACATAAACAACAATTGATATACATCGGGCAAACTTATACTAAAATAGTAACCATTATTTATTTGAAATTCAAATTTAACCAGGCATCCTGCATTTTATCTGGCAGGCCTATTTCTGGAAGATATATCTACTATGAAATAAATGAAGAAATTTTAAGCTGATTGGAAAAGAATAGAACATTCTTCCTTTATCATCAGCTAAACTCATGGTAAGTACATACCTGTTTAATATACCTGCTTAGCTATGTGTGGTATGGTTTCTGCCCTCCAGGAGTTTTGATGTAAAAATAGTGGTAAATTGGTAATTTATATGCTTTTGGCTCTTACCACTAAAAATTAATAAAAGGAATTACCATTTGTTTATTTTGTGCTGATTTGAGATTCCTAAAGTCTTATAAAGGCTGTGGGTATTCCAGTTTTACACATAAAGCAAAAGAGAGTAACAAGTTACTTGTCTAAGGCAACAAAGCAGAATTAGGGTTTAAGTCTTCTGGTTTTAGATTCATGCATCTTTAATACTTTCCAGTGCCTCAAAGCATCTCAGAAGAGCCATAGAATTGGAGAAGAGATGTTGCTGCTAGAATGGAAATGAATACCCTACATTTCTGGGCATTCTGATGACTGCTACATACCAGAGCTCCAGATGACAGTAGATGGTGATGATTTTCCAGGGAGGTTTCTGCAGGATGCCATGGAGGCTCTCAGGCTGTGTTATCAGAGTAGTCAAGGTTGGCTCAGGTAAACAATCCAGAGAAATTTGAGGGGAACAAAAAGTAAGTCAGGAAAAGCTCACGTCTGATATAGATGGCCTAGCCATATCTTTTTCTAAAAGAATATGATGATTAACTTTATGTGTTAAATTGACTGGGCCATAGGGTGCCCAGATATTTGGCCAAACATTATTTTGGTTATTTCTGTGAAAGAGTTTCTGGATTATATTAACAGTTAAATCAATAGCCAGAGCAAAGCAGATCGGCTTTTCTATATAGGTGGCCTTTATCTAATACACTGAAGGCTTAGATAGGAAAAACATCAGACTCTCTCCACCTGAAATGAGAGGGAGTTTTTTCAGCCTGACTGTTTCCAAGATGGGACATTGTTGTTTTTCTTCCCACCTTTATTCTCAAAAAGAAAAATCACTTAGAATCTTTCTGGGTTTCCAGCCTGCTGGCCTTATAATTGGAATTAAACTGTCAGCTCTCCTGGGTTTCCAGCTTTCCAACACAGCAGATCTTGTGATTTATCAGCTTTCATAATCATGTGAACCAGTCTTCTCTCTCTTTGTCTCTGTATCTACACACACACACACACACACACACACACACACATACACACACACACAGAGCCCACACTCCCACTGGATCTGATTCTCCTGAAAACTCTTGAGAATAATACAGTAGTAACACAGTGGGCTCATACCACCTCTACATCTGACAAGAAAAGCCAGTGGACCTTGCGTCTCTCACAAAACCCAGAACAGCTTTATTCTACAGTAGCTTACCCTGTCCTGCCATTACTATAGTTAACAAAATTGACATTTTAGGATAGTCCAGGGAGCCATCTCTCCACAGTTGTGTTTAGAATTTTTCTAACATTGTTTTTATCAAGTCTGTGTTTGTTTGTTTTTTTAAAGAGAGAGAGAAAGAGAATTTTTAATATTCTATGTTTTACTTATCGGCGGACACAACATCTTTGTTTGTATGTGGTGCTGAGGATCGAACCCGGGCCGCACGCATGCCAGGCGAGCTCGCTACCGCTTGAGCCACATCCCCAGCCCCAAGTCTATGTTTTAAAGGGATGCAAAGAATCACATTATATAAAGTAGATACAATTGGAATTATTTGATGTAGTTGGTATCCCTGGGATAGGATGCAGTGGCCCTCTGTAGCTTTGTGTGTGTGTGTGTGTAACACAATTTTATTTTATTTTATTACTTATTCATTTTTATTTGTTCTATATATATATATATATATATATATTTATTCTATTTATTTAAAAATCTTTTTCTTATAGAAATTAACATTTCATTATACAAAGTACATGTGCTTCCTGAAGAAAATAGAAATGTACTCTAATAAAAGAAAAAGTTGAACATACTCTAAAATTCTACCAGGAAAAAAAAATACATGATAACAGTTTCCATGTTTCTGAATTGTTAACATATGCATTCTCAATCTTCTGCTTTGCTCTGGTTATTGATTTAACTGTTAATATAATCCAAAACACAGCATATGCATTCTTAGCATATGTATGCTTATACAATTCATAGACCAAAAACCTTGAGATAATTCTTTTCAGAACAATTAATCATACAGAATTGGAATGCATTCTTTCATCAGGAAGTGATAGATTAAAATTCATCTTGCCTAAGGAACCAGAGCCTTTATATACAACTTTATACTATCCTCTTCATAAGAGTTACCTAAAAATTCTGAAACTATAAATTCTATTAAAACTGAAAATATTTTTGCAGATTGTCTATAGAATCCTCTACTTTCCTATGAATATCTCTAGTTGCATTCTATTCTCATTTTTTTAACTTAATGGTATTTCTTATTTCTAAATAATTATAGATTTACCAGAAGTAAATCTATAGTAATAGAATTGTTCCAAGTACATTTCACCCAGTTTCCCCCAATGATAGTGTCTTATATAACTGTCATACAATATCATATTGGTATAAGCCACAAATTTTATTCACATTTCGTTAATTTTGCCTGCACTCATTTATGTACGGGTATGTAAAATTCTACATGCCTTTGTTATCTGTTTAGATTTGTGTAACCACTACCATGGTCAATATACACAACTGTTTCCTCACCATGAGGATCCCTCAAACTATCCCTTTATACTCATTCCACTTCCATCTTGATCCTAAACACTTGGTGGTGACTAAGATATTCTCTATCTATATAATTTCATCATTTTTGTCATTCCCAACAATATTATTTATATGATTAAAAATCATATTGAAGCCAGAATTAGATAGGCAGTCAGTATAGATAGGTAAATTGAGTGAGGTCGGATCAAGGAGGTCAATTTGAGTGCCCCTGCTCCAACCTGTTGCTAAGGTAACCTGTCCCAGGAATTGCCCTTCCCTATTGGGAGTTATAAAAGTTGTTAATCAATGTGTCCTGGGCTGCTCCATCCAGCCCTTCCCCCATCCATATGCTTCTCACCGTTTGGCCATCCCACCGAGCATCTCCTGGGCCTAGTCATGTATGATAAAGGGGAAGAGAGCCAGAGAACAAAGGAAGCTTAAGACATGAAAAGGCAGACCACCTCACTTCTTGGGATCCCAGGATACCAGCTATGGCTCCTTTTGAAAAACCAGCCTCTACCTCAGAGCAAAGCCTGTCCAAGGAAGGGAGTGTGACCCTTGTCCTTGGAAAGACCCCAGAGCACTCCTAGGCACATACCCACCCTGCTGAGTTGTTTATCTACAAATAACAGGAGAGATCTTCGGAGCCAGGTGTCCCTGACTCAGTCAGGCTAGGTGGGGATCCATAGCAGCCCCCTAGCAGCCACCAATCAGCATGAGACAGGGAAAATACTTGGGATGCCAGATGACCCTCCAGTAGTTTATGGTGGTTGATAACATGTTGGGAAACCATGTAGTTCAGCATGTACACCCCTCGTGGCCTAAACCAATCAGTTCAAAGGAATCCCCCTTTTGTACTAACCAATCACCCTACCCAACTTGTTCCCGCCAGTCATGCTTTAGAGTTGTTTTATGATTTTCCCATAGTGTGTGATGATTTGCTAAGAGATGCTATGATGTATGTGAAGTCCCGGCCTTCCCCAAAGAGTGTATAAAACTGCTGCAAACCCTGGGCTCGGGGCCTCTCAGCGTCACCAGTTGCTGTGTGCCTGTGGAGGACTGAGCTAGCTCACAATAAACACCTCTTTGCTAAAAAAAAAAAAAAAAAAAAAAAAAAAAAAACAACAATATTATTTAAATGGAATAATATGATAGGTAAGCTTTTTATTATAATTATTAGTGCATGCTAATTGTATAATTGATGAGTCTTACTGTGACATTTTCATACATGTATATATTGTGCTTCTTCCCTCCCATGCCCTTCCCCTCTTCCCCCAACCCCTGTTTTTCTTCATCTTTCCTAACAATCCCTCTTTTACTGCTTTCTGGTCAATTTTTCTTTTTTCCTTTTTCCTTTTATAGTTTCTACATATGAGAGAAAACATGCAATAATTGTCTTTCTGTGTCTGGCTTATTTCACTTAACATGATGTCTTCTTCCAGTTCCATACATTTTCCTGCAAATGGCATGATTTCATTTTCCTTTATGGCTGAGTAATACTCTATTGTGTACATATACCATATTTTCTTTATCCATTCATCTGTTGGTGGGCACATAGGCTGATTCCATATCTTGGCTACTGTGAATAGTACCACAATAAACATGGATATGCAGATACTTTTTTGTTTGCTGACTTCACTTCCTTCAGAAAAATACCCAGGAGTAGGATAACTGGATCATGTAGTATTTCTATTTTTAGTTTTTTGAGGAAACACCATACTTGTTTTAGTCATGGCTATACTAATTTACATTCCCACCCACAATGTATAAGGGTTTCCCTTTCCCTGCTTCCTCTCTAGTATTTATTTATTGATTTGATGGATAATAGGCATTCTGAAGGGGGTGAGATGTAGTTTAATGTAGCTTTGAGTTTCACTTCCTTGATAACTAAAGATATTGAGCATTTTTTTCATATTTTTTAGCTGTTTCTGCTTCTTTTGAGAAGCATCTGTTCAGATCATTTGCCTATTTTTTATTGGATTACTTGTTCTTCTCTTGCTAAGCTTTTTGATTTCTTTATATATTCTGGGTATCGATCCTCTGTCAGATGAATAGCCGACAAGAATTTTCTCCCATTCTGAAGATTGTCTTGTACCTATGTTTATTGGTTTCTTTACTGTGCAGAAGTTTTTAATTTGATATCATCTGATTTGTCAATTTTTGCTTTTATTTCCTGAGCTATATGAGTCATATTCAGTAATATTGTCTGTGCCAATATTTTGGAGTGTTTCCTCTATGTTTTCTTCTAGTAGTTTCAAAGTTTTAGGTCTTCAATTGAAGTTTTCGATATATTTTTAGTTGATTTTTTATAGGTTGAGAGATGGGGTTGTAGTTTCAATATTCTGCAAGTGGATATCCAGTTTTCTCAGCACCATTTTTTGAAGAGACTGCCCTTTTTTCAATGTAGGTTTTTGGCACCTTTCTTAAGAATCACTTGCCTGTGAATATCTGGGTTTACCTCTGAGCCCTTTACTCGATTCCACTGATTGATGTGTCTGTTTTTATGTCAATACCATGCTCTTTTTAGTGCTATAGCCTTGTAGTATACTTTGAAATCAGATTTTGTGATGCCTCCAGCATAGCTCTTTTAGCTCAGGATTGCTTGTGCTTCCAAATGAATTTTATATTTTTTTTCCTAATTTTATGAAGATGTCATTAGTATTTGGAGGCAGGGGGGTCACGTTGAATCTGTAGATTTCTTTCAGTAGTATGGCTATTCTAACAATGTTGATCCTCCCAATCCATGAACATAGGAGGCTCTTTGATTTTAAGTCTGTATATCTTTGCTGGTGGGGTGAGTTTATTTCAGGCAGCATATTGTTAGGGTTTTTTGTTTGTTTGTTTGTTTTTTAATACAAGCACCTAAACCATGTCTTTTAGGTGAACTGTATCTATTTATATTCAGGTATTTATTGAA